TAAAAGACAGTGAAAAAATAGATCTTTCATTTTTCAGAGCTTCCAGCATTAGACTGTAGGTTTCAGGACTGCATAGCCAAGAAGCCTGCCAAGGATGATAGGGAAATAAAACACAGAAGAAATAACTGTTACATAAACAGTAGTTCAAATTAGGTAGTGAAACTCTAAAGAGGTATACCAAGGTAAATTTTCAGGTACTGTATATGTGTGTGTGTGTGTGTGTGTGTGTGTGCGCAGGAGAACAAATCCAGGTATTTTGCATTTTCCTCAAGACTTGATATTTTCAATTTTAACTATCATTGTGGCTATTTTTTCAAATTTTATTGTTCATTAGCATATGTTTGAAATACATAATAATTAAATTCCTTGTAGGGAGTTGGTACATGTATGTAACATATCTTCATTCTTTTGTGTGCATGTGTGTGCATGTGTGTGTGCATGTGTGTTTTTAGTGTGAGTATATACATATGTATATTTAATATGCAAATCCAATCTGAATTTATCAGACTACTGAACAGTGTAACTTTGTGAATTAAAATTTTCTGGATCTTCTAAAAACTCCTCCAGAATGTTGAAGTTAAAAAGCCTCTTAATATCATGACTGGATGGGGAGTAGAAAAAGAATTAAGATGTGTTATATGCATGGACCAATTCACCACAATAAATGTAATAATTATGCACTGCAAATATATATTAAAATTATAAAAAGTTTAAAAAGAATCACAACAATCATCTCTTGATCCCAAATAATATCAGTCCATTAGGAACAGAAATATGGCAGTATTATTTGTTCTTAAATTACCAACAGTGTCATACCATATGTAATCACTAACAGCCCAGAAGCACACTCAAAACTCAGACTGTATTGTAAACTTTCCAATATTAATCCTCAATAAAGATTCAGAAATCTACCCACTTTCATTTATTTCCCTCAACTCTTTCTTGAATGTCTTCAATAAATTAACAAACTTTCTCCTACACAAAGTCCTACGCTTAGAATACTAGAACACTACTTGTTTTTAAAAATGAATAATGATAGGAAAAAAATAACTCATGATGTGTTCCAAGTAGACTTCAAAGTAGATTAAAATCAAGATCAAGAATTTATTTAAACTAGCTCAAGCTTCAAAAGGAAATCAGAAAATGCCCATCCACTTTGAATCCTTCAGAATTAAAGTCTGATTGCCTACTGCCTGCTTGCAAGAGGCAACCATTATTTACCCATGTTTAAAAGCAGTATGAGTCTTATTGGGCCACCAGGACTCCATTTAGTTCCCTGAAGCATGCTGAACACGACCCACAGAACTCACGCTGTTTTTAGAAGTACTAAATTATATTCAACAATGTAATAGGCTAAATGATGGGGAAATTCAGCACAGTTTCTTAAAGTGCAGATATTTGACACCTTTCTCCTGGGAACCTCTGCTAATTATCACTTTTCCTCAAAGGAGCAGGCAAGGGTAATACCGTGATCATTCTACAGATAAAGAATAAGCTGTAATACACTTTTTAAAAATCATGGGTTAGGATCCTGAAGTCTTCAGATCATAGATATTCTGAATTTATTATTCTTAAAATGGCTTCCCCTCCCATCTAATCATTTTACCTCTCTACACTGCATTTTCTCATAGATATTCTGACTTGATTACTCTTAAGGTGGGTTATCTCCTCAATCCAATCACTTTACCTCTCTATACCTCATTTCCTCATCTTAAGCAGAATATCTGCTTTATTGAGTTGTAATGGTTGAACATACATGAACCTGTTTTAACTGTGGCTTAGCCCAGTGAGTGTTGCCTGGGAATAAACAAATTCAAATTCCAAATCCAACATGGGCAGGCTATCTGACCTGTCTCAAAGCCAACATCTCTAAGACAAAATGAAATTACCTACCTACCTCTCAAGCTTACTATAAGAATGAATGAGGTAATATCTTACCTTACCTTTAATTAATAAAGAATATTAACTATTTCACATTTGATTCTAGGTCACAGTGAAAGCTAAACTCCCAGCTTGTGTGGCTCAGAAAGTTAATAATGGATGTATATTATCCTAATTTTGGACCCCAAATCTCTAACTTTTGCCACAGCCCACTAGTAGCCATCCTCATTGTGATTTGCATTGCCATTTTCAATATTCTGAATACACCTGGGCTTTTTCTGTACATTATTTTACATTTATATTATACTCTTTGAACATAAATTCAGAGAGAATATGAAAATTGGGAATATTCTTGAGATCTTCCACATTCATTATAGAAATTCAGTAACTACTTCTTTGAGGATCAAAATCTTAGAGCATTTTTGACCTCATAAGCATCCACATAAATAAACATAAATTTTTGTTTCCAGACCAATTCCATTGCAGATAATTTATATTCAGGAGCCATGAAAGCTATGATGAATTTTCACCTCCACCTTCCCTTGTTAGAACAATTTTCCCAAAGGTATACTGTCTGCATCTTGAGGACAAAAAACATAAACCAGAACCTCTTTTGTATTTAACATCAAGCATCGGTGGAGCAGCTGGTGCTTTTTGAGAGTGGAATGAAGTGGCCCTCTGTGAATGCTAGACTGTTCCACATTCTCTCTATATCAGATGTTAGTACTCCCTCTCTCTGTACAAATGTACTGCTATGAAAGGTCTTTATTTTTAATAGTTCACATTTTCTTATTTTTAATAGTTCATTTTAATTAACATGCATTAATTCTACATATTAATAAGTTCAGTGGGACATTTCAACACACACATCTATCATGAACTGTTCAAATCCAACCTCCTTTTATCCATCCTCCCTCATCCCTCTCCAGCCTCAAGTAGTTACTATATTACAAAGAAGAGGTTTTTCAGTATATTTACTTTATAGCCATATTATCTGCAGACAGGTATAGTTTTTTTGTATACCTTTATTTTGTTCCTCTTACCTAATTTCTCTGGGTAAAACATTCAGCATGATAATGAATAGGAGCAGTAAGAGTCGAACCCCTTGTCTTGTTCCTGATCTTAGGGGAAATATTTTCAGCTTTTCCCCTTTCAGTGGAATGTTGGCTGAGGCTTTGACATATACCTTCATTATGTTTAAGTATCATACTTCTATACCTAATTTGTTCAGAAATTTTATCATGAAGGGATGTTGAATTTTATCAAATGCTATTGCTACATCTATTGAGATGATCATAGGATTTTTATCCTCATGTTATTGATGTGATGTGTACTATGCTTATCTATTTGCAGATGTTTAACCACTCATATCCTAAGGGAAAAGCCAACTTGGTCATGGTGGATGAATTTTTTGATGTGGTGGTGAATTCAATAGTATTTTGTTGAGAATTTTTACACTACATTAATCAGATATATAACTTCTTTCTGTTGTTGATGTTGTTGTTGTTGTCTTGTCCTTATCTTTAGAAAACCTTTAAATACCATTCATTTGTTTCAGTGTATCAGAGAATTCATACTGGAGTGAAATAATTTTAATTCGGTCATTGTGAGAAAGCCAATAATCATGGCTTTAACCATATTCTGCATCCGATATTTCATACTTGAAAGAAATAATAAGAACTACACAAAAGATGGGGTAAAATCAAAGAACACAGATGAGAGTCACAGATGTGGAAAGAGGTTCTAGGAAATGCCTTTGTGTCACCTCTGCCACCCTAAAAAAGGGTGATTCCCCATCCGAAATCCACACCTTTCCCTAAGCATTTATTAAATTATGTTTGAGATACTTTCCTTGTTATGTTAGAATATAAAAAATATAATACCTTGTCCTCAAAGACCTTATAATCTATCAGGAAATGTAAGATTTATTCTCATATAACTATAACATTAACCAGTAGGAATAAAGTAAATAGGAAAAATATAAAATATACTACAAACTTTCAGAAAAATAATCACTTATGTTGGGCATGATATGTGAGGATTCGTGGAGGAGGTCCATCTGAGGTTGGCTTGGAGAAGGTGGAAAGACACAGAGGGATAGCTGGCAGGTAAAGTATTCCCATCAGGAGAAACAGAGAAGTCAAGGCATAGAAACCGGAAAATATGCACAGTGTATTTAGAAAGTGTGAGTAGTGACAAAATTGAACTTGAGAGAAAATGTGAAGGCCCACACATAGCAAACCAATGATAATAGTAAGTATTCTTTATTGAGCTATGTGCCAGGGCAATTATTTCATTATCACTACTACCCTATGAAGTGGGCAGTAGGATTATCCTATTTTTTCACTGAGGAAACTACAACATAGTGAGGTTGAATAACTTTTCCAAGTTCATAAAACTAGAAAGTGCAGGGTTCAGAATCCAAATCTTGGCAGTCTAGCTCTAGAGCACATATTATTGTGTAGGAAATAAGCCTTAATGTCATCAATATCGGGATTTATTGAAGAGCTTTGTGGAAGAATGTGGTATAATTGGGCCTTTGATGATTCACACTGTTTGCAAGGTAACAAATCTCCTGCAAGAGGAACAACTAAAAAGAGGAAGATACCTTTGAAAGCCAACTCAATATTTAAGGCCAAAGGTACAGGGTTTAAATGAATACCACAGGGTTAAGAATGTAAAGGAAAGTCTGAATAACAGAGACAAAAGTAAAATCAGAGAATGTTAAATTTGAGAAAAGAATCAGTAACCATCTCATTCTAAAACTTCAAGTTTGGATAACCAGAAAAATGGTGATGCCATTAATGTAAATTATTTTACATTTATATATATATGTGTGTGTGTATACATATATATATATATATACACACACACATGTATAAATGTAAATATATATATATGTCTTGGAAACAGACAAAAGTACTTGGTAAAAAGTTTTTTTTTAATTCAAGGATCAGCAGAACATCAAGTTCAGTTTATTAATGTATCACTTCAAAATTGACTTATGGCCTCACTCACTAGCCCCTCATTTCTATTAAACAAAGAGCTTGTCCTTTATCTTTAACAACATGCTGTTTTTCTTCTGCAGTGTTCCATCCAACAACCTCCTGCCAGGGATTCCACTAGTGCCATGTCCTCCGATCCATCCATCTGTTAATCAAGCATTCAGTGTGTGCCTATGATGTGCCAGGCCCTGTGGTTAAGAAAATACAGTCCTTCTTACCAAAGATAGTGCAGTAAAGGGTGAAGAAGGTTACAGGATAACAGGAAAGTATAGACTATTGGTTTAAAATAAAGGAGAGGGTGACCAGCTCTGTCTGCAAGGATCAGGCAAGGTTTTGGAGAGGAGGCAGCTGTTAGATTGTCACATGGAGTAAAAGCAGTGATTTCCCAGATGGGTAAGTGGGGAAGGCACACTTGGACAGAAAGGCACTGAGGCATGAATCAGCACACTTTTTAGAAAACCATAGGCAATTTAGGCTGAGTGGGGAGCGGAAGAATATGCAAGAGTGGAAAAGGAGAAAGTGGGTAGGAAAGCAAAATCCACCATGGAGGGCTCACTGCTTATGAGACCTTCTGGGTATCTGACTGCCTTCCCATACGCCAGGGTTAAAGCTCATTTAAGACCTATATAGCTATGGGCTCTTGTCTCAGGGAAAACAAATCCTCCAAATAGTGTGTACAGTGTCCACATACATTCTAAATTTGAAAAACTGCTTAGACCTGTTTCAAAATTCTACTATGGACAAAGTGCCCACTTTTAGGTTTTAAAAATAGCTGAAAGTATATGCAACAAACAGGGAAGTAATATAATCCAATTTGTGTGTTAGAACAATAACTTGGGCAATTCTGTTGTGAATGCAAGTAAAACTAATGGAAGAATGTAACCACCATCTAGTAGAAGATGATAAAAGAAATCTCCAACAACTTTTTTATTGTGATTCATGGTATTAAATATTTAAATGCACTATAATAGGTAAAACAATATGCTGCTGACCCCCCCTCCAAAAAAAGTAAGGAAACTAAGATCAGAAATCTAGATATTGAATTTTTATTATTTTTTTCAAGAAAAATCTTAAAGAGCAAAGGATGGATTATTCAGCAAATCATTTTCAGTACAAGTGGATAAATATCTAGGAAAACATGAAATTAAATTCTTGTTCTCTATACACCAAAACAAATTCCAGCTAGATTAAGATTTACAGGTAATAAACAACAATAACACTGAAATAAAATGTATGGAAAGTATGTGCCACCTTGGGATGGTGAAATCCTTTATGCATTAACACCAAAAGTAGAAACCTTGAAAGGAAAACATGAAAGACAACCTCTGCAGGGGAGCTGCTGCTGGTCAGGTATTGGGTTCCATTTAGGCAAAATAAGTAAGTCTGCTATGGAATACTGCCCCTAGTTAATAACACTGTATTATTGGCTTAAATTTTTATTAAAAGGATAACCCTCATGCTAAACTTTCTCAGCACAATTAAAATAAAAAGGCTCATCTATAAGCACAAAAATTTCTCACATAAAAATATGCCAAAGGGAAAAATTCAAAAGGTAGCTAAGAAACTGGGGAATATATTTATATTATAGACAAATAACAAGCAAATAGAACACTATTCATATTACCTCAAAAACATCAGTTAAATTAGAAAACAAACATCCTAAAAGAAAATTAAACAAAGCATATTAACAGGCAATTTACAAAAGAAAACGAACGTCCAGCCTTACCAGTAATTCAAGAAATACTGATAAAACCATATTAGAAGGCATTTCTAAGATACCAGATTGGCAAAGTGCTTTTTTTTTAAGTGCTATTTAAGATTTGGGAAAATATGTCCTCCTCTGCACCACTGGTAGGTGAATAAATTGAAGTGAAAAAAAATTCTGGAGAGCAATTTGACAAAAATAACCAGACCTAATAAGTATAGTTTATAACCTACAAGCTCAGCTTCTCCAAGTATATCCTAGGAAATCACCCTGATTTAGCTACCAAGGAATATATGGTAATTGTATGTAGCAAACATTTTAATTTGACTTGATAAATGAATGATATCTAACCACAGACATATCTAAATATAAGAAATTTATGTTGTAGAAGAATATGCAAAGCCTGGATAAATCTTCTCTCTAGTTTGTTAAAAGTGGAGAAGATGGCCTTTAATATAATCACATATTAAACTAGCACAACCCACTACCAGCTCAAAGTACCCTACCTGCACACGAGAATAGAGGTTGACTGAAATACTAATTTGAAATAAAATTCATTACAATGCTATCTATAGCATTGGCAGTATTGGCAGTAATTATAGAAATAACAATAGAAAAAATGCACGACACTAAGCAACCCAACAGACCAATTCATATAATACAGTGTTAATTACAAAATTCATACAGAAAATCAGTTCCTCTAACTCTTTCACAGCCTGATCCAACACCACTGATGTCACAGGGTCACTCTTACTATGTCTTCTCATCTGATCTTTTCACCTAATCCCCTCCTGCCAATATTCAGCCCGCAAATCAGAGGTAGAGCACAGGAAAACTACTTGCAGTTAGACAGAAATGACTACTGTGCAAGAAAGAGGTTTAGATCCACAGCTGAACTCCCCTGGGCCCCCACTGCATGCTGTGTTTGAGTGGCATAGATTAAAAGTATGAAAACCCTGCCTCAGATCAATGGCCTGACAACAGTGTGATGATGGCTATAGTGCAGCTTAGCACAGAAGCAATTGGACATCTTCTAGTGGCCTCCAGATTTCTAAAGGGTGCTGAGTCCAAGGAATTGCAGCTTGTATAAAGCAGGGTGAGAAGCACATTCTTGTCCACTTTCAATACATTTCTTTGAAAATCTACAAACACCACCAAGATCAATTTAGCAATCAATAAAACCACATGATAAGTTTTAGGATAGTTATATCTCAGCCATCCTGTATTTCATTTTGAGATATGTCAGCATGGGCTACAACCAGTGATGGTTACACATCATCCACAGTGGAAAAAACATGTTTCTATTTAGTTTGCACTTGCAAGCTTATCTTTGTGAATGCTAATTCTTTCGCTTCTAAGTGCTTCTCAAAACTACAGACATAAGATTCATCAGAGACTTTATGCCAAAAGCAACTGAACATGAGGCAAGAAAAAAAAAAGGAGTCTCTTTTGAAACAGGGAAAAAAAGAAAGAGAACACAAACATCCACAGAAATGAGAGTGTGTTTAACAAGGGAAGTTATCTCAAAGGTCACAGATTGGAGGGGGGAAATATGCTATTTACCAATGGTGGAGAAGGAAAAATCCCAAAGACATCTAAAACTCACAATAAATATTTGCTGCTCCATTTTACTTAAGACCAGTGTACATTAGAAGAAGTTAGCAGAGTACACACTGAGGGCTCATGAAGGACACCAGGCTACCAGGTCCTGTTTCCTAAGTTAATAGCATGAAGTTGTTTTCAACTGTATCTGATTGCATTCAGTGGAATTATGGTTACTAAGTGCCTGGGAGGGTAACCTCAGATATCTATACTACTACCCAGTTCTTTGCATGTATGTATATTTAAACTCAGTTTTTGTATATTCTAGTTCAATTATTTTGGTTTCTATCAAAATTTTGCTATTATTATCATTTGTTTGTAGTCTCACTCATAAAACTTGCTTGAATCCACTCTGTTGACATTTACCTTCCAAGGAGGAGAAAATAATGAGCACTATTTTGTTAAGAGAAAATGCAATTACTCCATTCTGAAACCTGCATTGACGAAAAAGGCATCCTCCCCACAAATTAAATTACATGTGACTGTTCCTTTAGATTTGGAATTTCTTATTTAAAAGTAAAATCATCCATTTACCAGATAAACTTAGAACAAAACTGTGGCATTATGAGACCTGACAGCATTTCTTGGAACAGAATGTTTATTAGTTCATAAATTTAAGGTAGGCTCACAGACACCTGCTCACACATAGCATAAAGCATTTTGCTACAGAAAAACCTCAGTCCTGTTTTCCCCATAAACACTTCTTGATAGTCACACCAGTGGGAGGTTAGGCTCTGTGAAAGGTTTTCCTGTGCCCCACACATCCAGGCAGACAAAGATGTAGGTTTCCTCCACCCTCCATCCACAAACTCACCCTCCACTTCTGAGATTCCTTTTCTGACTTACCTTGAGCAGAAAAATCTGGAACAGCAGTTACTTCAGGGGAGCCAGCATCAGAATGCAGCCAAGGAAAATGAAATCTCAGTTCCTGCCAACAATACAAATCTCTGACATTCGATAGCAGGAAAAAAGGGGAGCTAACAACCCATCTAATCTTAGCTCTTTCATCACAGATATTTTAATGAAAACAATTCAAACCCCTGACGCAACAGAAGGTGGCCTTTGCATAATGTTTAGTTTCTAATGTCTCCAAAAGGTATCTGATATTTATTTATGATCCAACTGTATTAAGTCTGAAATGGAAAAGCTTCTAGAATTTCCAAAGAGCCTACATAAAACTGCCTGAATAATTATTAGCAAGCAAGTTATCAAAACACATTTTTAAGTCCCACTTAGGTGATTCTGGTATTGTTTGTCCTCCTCACCCCCACACACTGCCTCATAAAAATGTATTTTAATGTATTTTAAAATATTTTACATAGAAACAACTAATTTGCCTATTTTAATCTCTGGAGCCCTTTTTTTTGTTGTTGTTTTATTTTTGGGTTTTGGTACCGGGGATTGAACTCAGGCCTTTATGTTTTCAAGACAGGCAGCAGAACCACTGAGCCAAATCCCCGGCCCTTAGGAAACCATTTTTAAAGATCTCTTGGAAAAATCCTAGAAGGCTTTGAAAAATGTCCCAAATTCAAAAACCAGAAATTCAAGCCCAAAGACCCTAGAAGATGGCTAGTATGAAGGTTTCATTTGGTGATTTGAAAAACAAGTTCCTCATAAATGGAACTGAAAAGTAAGAAACTATTACTCTTGCTAATCATAATAAAAGAAACTGAAGTAAAATCTTATTTAACTGCAATCTAAACAATCAGAAGTTCACATACCATAATTTCTTAAGTCACCCTTTATGAAAAAACGACAATGAAACATATACAAGCTTATTCCAAGACTTATTATTTTTTAAAAGACGTAGTTAGAATATGTGTAGCAGTCATTTGCCCCAATAGTAAACTCATATCTATATATATAAAAATGTTAAAGTTGTGATCAATATTCATATGATGTTAGTATTGATTGTATTTTACTATTTTCTAATTCTTCAACAAGTATTTTGCCCCAGTGTGACATAAAAATCTAATCTAAATGAACAGTAATATGTAATTATGTAATTAACCCATCCCCAGCCAAGTTTGGATACATCAAATTTACATCAAGTGAAGAATGAAAGCCATTTACTTTACAGTGAAGAGACAAGGACAGAAGCACTGAATGAGCCATTAAAACAGGTAAGTTTAATAGCAGGATTGTTGTGTGTAACAATTAAATGAAAATACAAGGTTAGAGACTAAAAAACTTGTATCTATAATTGGTATCAAAATAAACTGGGGAAGTCAATCTCAATCTTAGCAAATGTAATTTAGGGGTCCTATTATGCTTCCACAATACAAACTACAACTTAAATACAAAGTTCACTGAATTGGTCGAGTTAAGCTGGTAAAGACAATGGGCCATGTGCATAGCACTATCTATCTCAGCCTGCAGACAATAAGGCTAGCATTGATTTGACTATAATATATAAATGCTGTCTTGCTGTCTTGCTGTCTTTATACGGGTTTTTTGAACTAAGATGGGCCATCTATTAATCAGCCTAGATTTTCCTCTGAGGGTATCAAGCCATTACTATTACTGTATCCTACCTATAAATGATGAAGTAAAAGCAGAAATCACACACAAAAAAAAACTGTCCAACGTAGAAGGTGGGTCACAAATGAAGAATCAGAATTTTCAAGGGTTAAAGACAGTGATCTGCACTCAGTAAGAACCTAGCACATGTTCCTGGAGTAGATGAAGTGACACTCCACCGTGCAGTAGATTGCCTGCATGTGCTAGAAAGACAGCCCTGTGCCTTGCCAATATCTCTACATGTTCAGAGAACATAAAAGTTACAGGAGGAATATGTACTTCCAACTGTCTTTGACCATCTCCTTTTGTCCCTGTCTCCTTTGTTGGCCTCTGCTACCTCTAAAACTGCATGAGTTGGCTCCAAGTGAGTTCACAGCAAGGAATATACTCATAATAGGAATAATTGTATTCTAACTGTATTCTTCCCAGTTCTCTCTTAATTAGAGGTCTTTGGGAAGTCATCATAGCTGCTTGCATTTCCCTTCCACAGAAGGGGTGAAAGGCTAAATTTGACCAAAAGTCTGTTGATAAGGATTCCAAAACCACCCTATCCCTACCAAGGGAGAAATCTTCCAGAATAAATGGATTTCAGTTGTAGAAACCAAAGGAAGCAGTCCTTTGTATCTGCAATTCCACTGGACTCTCTACTCTAGAGAGTCAATAGGAGAAAAATTGAACCAAATGTACTTTCAATTTAATAATGTTCTGGAACATTAGAAGCCTTATAACCAATATCAAAAGCTAGGCAAAGTGACCAAATAGTTTTTCTCAATAGGTCAAAAAGAATTCAATTTCATGGGAAAGTTTAATTAAGGACAAAAACAAAGCCATATTTTTTATTTGTCCTCTTAAAAAAAGATTAATAAGCAGTTAAATGAGAAATAATAAGAATAGCCTCAGGTCTTGGATGTTCTATAATGAAGAATATCCAGGCCCTGGAAATTGGTAAATATATGAGAAAACACTAGAAGATTACTACTTGTCCAAAGAACCAATGGAAAACAATACAGGATTCTCTTCAGTTAATCTAAGGGTCATCTCATTTCCTATTCATTTTCAGTACGATCGATCACACTGAATTACATTTTCAACTGTACTGAAAAAAAGGTTAGACAACATATCTATTTTACCATTCTTCATGCTCAAAGCATCATCATAAAGTACAGGACATCGTAAGCACACTGTCTCTGCATCCGCGGGTAGGTGTGAACTGGCTAATTATTATCAGTGTACTCTCGGGGGGCGATACATATCCCACCTGCATTCACTCAGTTTTCGAACGTTTCACCAATCAAATGAAAGGCCCTGAGTAAAGAAGACAATATTGTTCCTGCTCCCAAACAGTCTAAACCTTGGTACAGAAGAATATTTACCTGCCAAATTCTTATAAATTAAAATGAAGGAGGGCCGGGGATTTAGCTCAGCGGTTCGGTGGCCTGCCTTGCAAGAGCAAGAACCCAAGTTCAATCCCCAGTACCAAAAAAA